CACTGGTGTGCGAGATACCGGTGAAAACTCCTGGGCAGGGAGCGGCTGCCATCATCTCGTTAGATGGCGAAGGTGTTGACAATGATATCCGTCTTTTCTTGCAGTATTCTTTCAAAGAGTTGCGAGGGTCGCCATCCTGATTTTCCGCAGCCCACCGCAAATGAACTCGCACGGTTGGCGAGCCGGGCTGGGAGACGTTTCATCGTGGCATCTACAATGATGAAGTTTATCGATGACGGATACAATGATCCCCAGGATCGCCTTCAGCTCATGCTCGAGTCAACAAGTGAGCTGCTACCAGTAACAGATGTGTACAAGTTATACGACTGTATCCTCTCCACATGTGCCGATCCCACCCTGGCATACCTCCACTTGTCCGTCGTTGCTACCCTTGCGGACTCTCTACCTGTCTCACAAATTGCGGAACTTCTTGGCCCTGGCCATGGCAAGGATACCACGGAAACGCTGATGCAGCTACGGCCTTTCATGGATATTCCTGCTGACAGCAGCCTCCCCGTGAATATCTATCACTCGTCCGTTCGTGACTATGTTTCCGATCCTTCAAACTGCAGCTTCCCTGGAATACAAGATATCACACCACCCCCACTCCCTACTCGCTTATTCCTGCCTCTGCTTAATGATGCGAGGCATTCCGAAAAGCATGACCCTCTTGGATGCATTCTCAGTATTGAAGAAGCAGAGTCAAGCTTTGCAGGCTCATGACCCTGTAAGCTTAAAACACTCATTAGCCTTTACCGTCCAGCCACCGGAGCCACTACAAGTTCTTTTAGGTCTCCTATGGCTTTTGGGAGATCGTGGTTCAGAATTATATTGCTGGTTAGGGACCCTAGACGGGTGTGCCTGGCTGCAGACCCAAGGGGCGAGAGACTGGTTGTGGTCCAAGAGCGGGAAAGCCTGGTTGCAAACTGAGAGTGGGCAAGACTGGCTGCAGACCGAGGACGGGCGAGACTGGCTTCGGACCCAGGGTGGGAAGGACTGGTTGCAGGCCCATGGCGGGAAGGACTGGCTGCAGACAAGGGGGGGAGAGGAATGGCTGCGGACCAGGGGCGGAGAGGAATGGCTGCAGATCCAGGGAGGAAAAGACTGGCTGTGGACTGAGAGTGGGAAAGACTGGTTGGAGACCCAAGGGGGTACGGACTGGCTGCGGACCCACTGGGGAGACGATTGGCTCAAGACACAAGGAGGGAAAGACTGGCTCCAGACTCCGGGGGGTGAGGACTGGCTGCGGACTCAGGGGTGGAAGGACTGGCTCCAGACTGCAGGGGCAGAGGGTTGGCTGCAGACTCAGGGGGGAAAGATCTGGCCGCAGACTCGAGCGGCCCAAGATTGGCTGCAGATCGAGGGCGGGAAACTCTGGCTGCAGACCGAGGGCGGGCAGTCCTGGCTCCAGACCCATAGCAGGCAAGACCGAGTGCAGACCCAGAGCGCACGATCCTGGTTGCAGACAGAGAGAGGACGGAATTGGATGCAGACAAAGAGTGGGCTGGACTGGCTGCAGACACAGAGCGGGAAAGACTGGCTGCAGACTCAAGGGGGAAATGACATGATGCAGTTCCACCGTGTTGCCAAATTGGCTGCAGGCCCAGTCTCAAGGCAAGATGCCAGTCCAGGTGGGAACAACGGGGCTGGACACCGAGAGCGGGCAACAGTTGCTGGACACCGAGAACGGACAAAAGTGGCTGGACACCGAGAGCGGGAAAAAATGGCTGGAGACACAGGGTGGGAGGGAATGGCTACGCACACAGGGCGGGAGAGAGTGGCTGCAGACCCTGAGCGGGCGAGAGTGGCTACAGACCCCCCATGGTCAAGCATGGCAGTTGACTCCTGCAGCGTCTGTTTGGGTGACAATGGAAGACTTCTCGAACACATTGGAAACAATCAGCGAATGCGCAATCATCCCACGATTGCCTTTCCCGCCAGTTTTCCAAGCAATCCAGGAGTTTATGAGCTTCCCAGATTTCTTGATGTTTCCTGTGTTCCTGGCGTTAAGGCCCCAGGATCATTCCACCTCCGCATCCCTGCAAGATTATCCAGACATCGAGGTCATTCATGCTATGGCCGCGTTCACGATTTTCGCAACCGAAGCACGGGAGCGAAGTCAATCATCTTCTGACGCTCTGAAGTACGCATGCCAAAACTGGGTCTTCCATCTCTCGCGAGCTCCAAGTCCAACGGACGACAGGCTCAACCATGCATTCAAGGTCTTCTGGGATCGCCACCTCCTCTCCTGGCTTGAAAGGCAGTGGTACTTGAAGGGCTTGCGGTCCTGCCTCCTTGCGTTATCCGAAGGGCAGAAATTCGCACAGGTGTGTCCCCAATGATTTTTGCGTATTCGGCACCTGACCTGCGCACAAAGGAACGTCTCATTGAAGCTACAGGGTCGTCTCTGTCCCGGGTCTGAAACTGTCGATTTTATGCACTGGATGTCACGCTGTCTTGTTATGTTATATTGATACTTTTCTTTTATATTGCTTGTGCATTCACAGGATTCAGAATGTTGAATATAGAATATCGGTGTTTATATGTTGAAATCCACCGCGGTACAAAATGACATGAAGAGCTTACAATTGGCAGAACCTAGTTTCTATTTAGATTTTGTCTGGTTCGCTGCGAACTCGCTGCCCCTGTCCTCACTACGCACGCCAGCAGAGCATGGCAGAATGATCACTGGTTGAATGATATGTTTGAATTGCTCAGTATATACCACAGCCCGTACAAACTTTGAAATGAGGTAAAAGCTTTGGATCCTCACCTTCAGCTTCTGAATTGTAGTAGAGATTTGCACCCTTTCAACAACGTTTTAGCTAAATTACCGCCGAGTAGGTTCCAAATCTACAGCACTATCCTCAAGAGCTTCTCCATCGCCGATCTTTGAGTCTGGCGCTGTAAAGCAGGCTGATGAGCGATGGCCCGCAACATGCATGGAAAGAACGAACATGAAACCCTGCCGAATAATTCCACTCTGCGCACGGCTGAAAGCTTCGGCGCGGTTCAGATTGTGGTTAAAGGCGAAGGTACGAAAATGAAGACTGGGGTGCCGCTGGAGGCTTAGAGCTCATATCAGAAACGAACGATCTCGATGGGACAAACTTGAACGTGTCAAAATAAAGCAGAGGAGATGCACGGCAGAGAAAAAGGACGAAACGAGCTCACAAAGGGATAGGTGGTGATTGCATAGTTGCTGTGTTTGGTGTGGTATCAGGAGCAGGAGGTGTCGTGGATGTCGAGATCGAGACGACGTCGAGCAATAAAAACTGCCTGTACATAGATCAATGAACGATGAAGATTTGGAAATACACCAGAAGAAAATATACCTGTTTGTTTCGTACTGTAGCGACTTCGAGGGTATGAGGACCGCGACGTAAAAAAAGATGGTTCACATTGGGTGATGCCGAAGTTCGGTTGCTTCCCTGATGGGTTGGGAGTTGCGGAAGAGTGAGGATAGGCAACGGAGGGGCGCAGTTGGAGAGGAGGGTGCGAGAGCACCGCAGTGTCGGGGCACAGAGGACCGAGAGAACAGAGGTCAGGATAGAAACTAATCACAAAAAACCAACGACACACGTGAACACCGTGTCGCGGGTCATCAAAAAAGCCTGTTAGCGATCGATGGGCAACCTTCTGGGGTGGACGTCGCGTCACATTGCTCTAGTATATCGATCTTAATCAATTGAAAATGTCTAAGAAGCGCGTCACGTACGTCCATCAACGACTTTTCAGCTGTAGCCTGTAAAAGGGAGGTTGGTAAATTTGAAAAGGCGTGATATAATATATATTAGGTCCCCAAGATCAGCTTCTTTGAGGATGGCATAGACGTCCCACACGTACGCATTTTTTGTGACCAGCACCTTTCCATCAGCTGCGCAGTTCACGTAATGTTGTGCTGGATGGGTGGTCCGACTTGGAGATTTATATCAAGATTAGAGCTTCGTGAAAAACTCCCCGGGTTTTATTCAAGATTCCACAAACGTACTATGTTGTCCCTTGATCCACTCGCAAGGAGGCGTTGTTGACAAAGTTGAATACCCTAATCAAGCTATCGGACGCTGTGGAGATAAGCTTGTTTCCATTCGACGTCCATGCCAGCGTGAAGAGCGACTCAATTATCTTCCCATACTTTATTTTTACTCTGTTCTCGTTAAATCTTGTTATCGCGACGCGGCAACTTTGAGTGATCGAGCCCCATGAACCTCCGCGAGAAATGGCGCTATCATGTGACACTGCACATTTATCAAATAATTTGATCACCACAGCCGACTGAGCGTTGGAAGACTAAAAATACGCCATAGAGACAGTTCTGATCTTTCCGATAGACGATGAGAGGCTTGAGGGGAAACAGCCTCATAGTGGCCGTGCGTCTAATGATACAGTTTAGCGCTGCGAAGCAGGATAAAAATCCCGACGGACGACATATGATGATGGGCTCGACGGACAGGATGCTTCATCTGTGGATCGCACTGTGTTGAAGAAGATAGAGGAGCATTGCAGCCAGGTGCAGGCAGTGGCAGCATCACAGGCCGCAGGACAGACAATCAATAGTCAGCGCTGACAACGGAGAAGTCATTTCTGGGACAGAGACACTGGCAAATCTCTCACCTCTGCAATAAAAGCCCACTCCACATACTATGCATCTGCCTGCTAGACTTTTCACCAGACAGCATGATGTTCGTGATTGATTCAATAGTGGTATTCAAAGTTCGCACCTGTGCTGAGAAAATGAGAGGCAAACGCCGGCAGCATGGCATACTTTTCAAAGTCCGTCCTGCCCTCTGACCGCTGTCTGCCGATCAACCAGCCGTCGACGTTGTCGTCGGTGTCGACCTTGCTGGTGTTATCCGATTTCCAATCGCCCTTTATTTGTCACTTGCTCTGTTCTTGGGGAACCATCTAGAAGATGGCACATACTACTAGAGCTGGAGCCGGAGGAAATTGCGGTCAAACACAATCCAGACGAGCAAAAGAGAAAGCTCCTGCAAGCACAAATGCACCAGCAAATGAAGATGACAGGCCTACAACCTGTGATCAGTCCTGCTCCCAACACCAAAAATAAGCTGGCTATCCATTGGGAGGGGGCCTACAGTGCTCGCACCTCTCGCCTCATCGCCTGGTGCAAAGCTAATGATGATGCATGCATCAAACTCTTCTCCGATTCTGTGAAGGATGCAAAAGAGCAAGGGAGGAAGAAAAAGCAGAGTGCTGCTCAAAAGAAACATACTACTCGCAGCTTGCAAATGCTATATTTTCAAATGACGAAGATCCTGAAGTACGGCTCCTCTTCCAGACAAAGCCTGGTGCTTTGATCAAGCCTGTTCAGACTCGATTCGGAACGTAAGTAACCTCCGATCTTCTTGCATCTGATAAGAATTACAAATTTATACCGTTTCGTTGCTGATCAGATGCTTCAGGCTCAAAAAGAAAATACAACGAGTTCAACAAGTCCCTCAAGCAGACAGGCGCCGGATTAACATATGATGAGCTACAGAAGAACCCGCAGACCAAGACACTCATTGGTGGGTTGTTCTCATGCGCATCTGTCAATTTTATTTATCTATTTCTTGCAGATTCGCAACTGGACAAATTCCCATGGTGGCCAGACCTTCACGGTTGGTGGAGGACAAATCCTGCCTATAATACTGTATTCTCAACCGCTGATCCTGGACAAAACTATGAATCTGCTGCGCTACAAACACTTCCATGTGCCTGACCGTGAGGACGCACAACTCCCTGCCAATGAAAATGAGCCCACAAGAGGAGGCCGATATTGAGGACGGGGAAATTGTTGACATGGATGTTGTCAGCGCAAATGTCGACATCCGTCGAGACCCCATAGATGCCACTGATGAAGATGCTGCAGGACAAGCAGATGACGATATCCTGATGGAACAAGATCAGTTTTTCCACCTGCAACACGCACCGGCGTCCTCCCGTTCATCATCAACCCCCAGTTTTTTTCGTGGATCTACCTCTACAGGCTCATACACTTCCTTACCCGCGTCTTCGCCCACCAATCACACCTATATCAACACATTATTCTGACCAAAATGCGGTGTCGCTCAACTCTCCGGAGCCTCTAAATGAAGACCAGTCCGACGGCCAATATCCTTTTTTTTCCAGCTTCAAAAAACCAACCTCCAGCCACAATGCCACTCCACATGACTCCGATTCTGATGTCAGCGCCAGCAATGCAATGAGGGGTTTGCGGGTTGATTCGCGTAAAGGAAGTCCTGCTCGAGGACGTCCGGCATCACAAATCATGAAGCTATCTGGAGGATCTACTCGTAGCGCATCACCTCAA